CCATTTCTATCTAATGGATTGATTTCTGAAATATTTGCACATCCAATATTAAAACCTAAATTAACAAGGATTTTTTTGCTTAATAAAAAAATTAAATGAATTAAATAATAAATTAATAAAATAAAATATCACTTGGCATATTATCATTGGTTCTAAACATATTTTCAATATTTTTTCTGCCTTGCCACCTAGTCACTCTTCTTCTAACAGTTTGTCCAGAATCATTACTTGTAATTTGTGTGATTAATTGATTTGCAGTATTAGTATTAATATTTTCATGTGCATTATCTAATCTCATTATATTTGAAACTTTGTGCAAATGTTTTGAATGTGAATAGGCCTCATGAGATTTTCTTATATTCAAAATTTTGGCTACAATTGAAGAGCCATTAGTAAAACTATCTTCTTCAGGTTCTTTTTCAAGTACAAAATATGTATCAGTTGAAGGTTCATTGTTCAAAATGTATTGAATTTCCATTGAATGAACTAAATTATTTGAGTCATTTACAGATTCATCATTGTTATTGTCAACAGAAAAATCATTTAATTTACATAATCTCATTGTTTCCACAGCAGCCTCTTAAATTGTAACACAATATTCATCATTAATATTTAATTCTATTTCATCTTCACAATCATTAATGATTAGGTCTGAAATGGAGGAAGAAGATATACAATTCATTTTTAATAATTTTGTAAATTATACAGCATTTTCATAAGCTATCCTAACAGCATCATCTATTTCATTATCCATTGGCCACTGGCATAGTATTTCAATATCATTATTTGATAAAGTTGACCCATCAATATCAAAAATATAGCCTATATATGATATATATGATAAGTATAGCATAAAATTGATTATTAATTTTTAAAAGTAACATAAAGAAATTAAGTTAATATATTACCTTCAGCTGAAGATTTTTCACTTGTTTGTGTTAAATTTTCTTGACGTAAAATTTTATCACAGTGTGTAATTTTTGTAATATCTTATAGAATTCACAATAAGAAAAATCTGAAATGATTTGCCGTGCAAGTCCAATCAAGTGTTCTATTGATTCAGTACCATGCTCCCAAGGTAAAAAAGGACAATTTGAATAATAATTACGATGTGCTAACACCAACAAAACCATATATTCTGCTAAACTGCCAAATGTTTTCCAACTTTGTATAGAAATACATGATTTATTAAATGAGTACCATTTTTGTGAATAAATATTGGCACAATTATTTAGATATTCTTTCCACATATTCAAAAAAAAATAAGCTTCATGAACATGATAATTCTTGTTTTGTGACATATTGTCCTATTTAAATAGCCATCAAAAAGTTCACCTATTTTAAATAAAAACAAAAATTGTTAAAAATTTTTAATAAATTATTAAAAAAAAAAAATAAACTCACCAAAAACAAACAAATAAACAAAAAGTGCCAATGGATCATCTTTTATAATTCCCTCACTTTGACATTGTTTTAGAAAATCTGAATGGAAAAATCTATATGCTGCACCATCATCCTGTTTATCTGTATTGATTACATCTCTTAAATATAACACAGAGTTTTCTTCATGTACTAATGTTAGTGTTTGATCATACCTAACAGTATCACTTCCCATTTTTAATAAATGGGATCCAGAATATACATTATTTCTGCCTTTTTTTTTGCATGTTTAGTATCTTGAACACAAATTATAGGTTTGTTATTAAAAATTGGTGCTTTGAAATTAATATTATATTGCTCATTATTTATCTTATCTAATAACTCCTGTTTTTGCTTTTTACTTCACTCTTCTGATTTTTCCTGAAACTTGGCTACCTCTTCTCTTTCAACTTTTAATTCTTCATTGGTAATTGATAACTCTTTTTCTAGTTCTCTAGTTTTATTTTCTAGGCGAAAACTGAAAGTTTGTGAAAGTAGTTCTTTGTCAGAAAGTGGTTTAGTTGATTTAGCTTTTAAATGACTACAAAAACATCTGTTTCTATTCCTTTTTAACCTACCACATTTCTCACATCATGGAAGAGTATTATTATCATAATCTTTTTTACATTCACCACAGATAAAGACAATGTCAGAATAACCATCAGGAGTATTACGAGCCACCATTTGATGAGTAGCAGGAGCAGTATCAAAATTAAGGAGAGTTGGGTCATCAAAATCTAGAAAACAAAAGTTACACTCTTGTTCATCTTCCTGGGCTATTTCCAGAATTCTATATTCTAATTTCATATTAAACTACTTACTTTTCTGAATGATAAAAGCTTGGAATTTCTCTTTAGTCTTTTCTTTTACTTTATTTACTAATTTTTTGAGTTTGCATAATCTATTTTCTTTTTGTTTCTTTGGTAAAGATGGTAATTCTTTGGTTGTTAAATAATCTTTTCAGTTTGTTTCCTGATTTTTAGCAGCTAAATTATTTTCTAATAAATCTATTCGGTCTTGAAGTTTGCCCATTGCAGCATCATGTTTCAACACAGTTTCAAACATTTGTCATTTTCTCCATTCCATGGCTTTATTTAGTGCCTTTTCAGCCTCTTCTCGCTCCATTCATACTTCATCATCTAGTTCCTCTACTTTTGCTTCCAATTCCTCCTTTTTTGCCTCTAACTCCTCAATCTTTTTTTCATAGACTCTCTTCTGTTCATAAAGTTTACTATTGGTTCTGCTTCATTTTCCAACATAGTCTAATCATTTTGAACTTAACTCATTAGAACTATCAATAAATCCATCTAACATTTCTTCAATGGTAATGTTATCAAAATAAATTCTTTTACAATTCTTAGCTCATTCTCTAGTTTCGTTAGGATCTATTGCCATTCTTAACTTGCCTTCATCCATCCATTTTTTGTTTAGTTTGTTGTATCATCTTGTCCCAGTAGGAGCATAAAGACTAACTTCACCCTTTTCATCAAGAGACTGACCAGTAACATGTCAGATTTTTAGTTTAAGATTTTCTTCTTTATCTGCTAATTGCTTCTTTAAATTTTCATTTTCTTCTAATAGTTGTTTATTTCTCTCTTGGAATTCATTTATTGTGTTTACCATGATTTTCTTTTTTTATTTATTTGCTCTTTTAATATATTAATGTACTTTTATGAGGGTATATTAAGTATATAAATTATTTTAGTACTTTTTTACTTTAAAAGTGGAAAAAGATTAATGGGTGGCAAAGTCATGGAAGTGATTTTATTCCAAATATTTTATTTGTTGCCAGCATAGGATGGTCTTGGACAAGTAGTATCTTTGTATTCATCTTTCACAAATGGGCGAATATTGTTATAAAGGTATTCTTGCCTTTTGTAGTCCAAAGGAGGTGGGGTTAACACTAAAATAGATAAAGCTCTAATTTCTTCAAAAATATCTGCTTTCTTGATTTTCAATAAATTGAATTCAGTAAAAGGTCCATTAGCAACTTCTTGAACTTTTACTGTACCAAGATTAGATGCTTCAAAAAGAAAATGTTGATATTTCTGTATACTTGGTAATTTCTTAAAATGAGTTCATCTACTTTTGCTTCTAAATTTTTAATTTCCAATTCTTTTTCACTCAACTTCTTTTCATACTCTTCTTTTTGTTGATTCAATTGATTACTTAAATTGCTTATTCTTGAATAACTTCCAGCATAACTACCACCTAAATCATTTGAGTAATCAATAAAACCATCTAACATTTCTTCAATGGTGATGTTGTCAAATCAAATTCTTTTGCAATTTTTTGCTCATTCTCTAGTCTCATTAGGATCTACTGCCATTCTTAGTTTGCCTTCATCCATTCACTTTTTGTTCAGCTTTTTATATCATCATGTTCCCCTAGGAGCATACATACTAACTTCACCATTTTTATCAATAGACTGACCAGTAACATGTCAGATTTTTAATTTGAGTTCTTCTATTTCTTTTTCTCTTTTTTTATTAATATTATTGATTTCTTCTAATAGTTGTTTATTTCTCTCTTGGAATTCATTTATTGTGTTTACCATGATTTTCTTTTTTTTAATTTACTCTTTTAATATACTTATATTCTTTTTATGAGGGCATATTAAGTATATAAATTATTTTAATACTTTTTTACTTTAAAAGTGGGAAAAGCTAACAATATTTGTCAAAAGATTAAACTTATTAAACTTAATGGCAGTAAGAGACAAATTAATGAGTGATAAAGTCATGGAAGTGATTTTATTCTGAATATTTTATTTGTTGCCAATATAAAATGGTCTTGGACAAGTAATATCTTTGTATTCATCTTTCACAAATGAGCGAATATTGTTATAAAGATATTCTTGTCTTTTGTAGTCCAAATGAGGTGGTGTTGACACTAAAATAGATAAGGCCCTAATTTCTTCAAAAATATCCGCTTTCTTAGTTTTCAATAAATTGAATTCAGTAAAAGGACCATTAGCAACTTCTTGAACTTTCACTGTACCAAGATTAGATGCTTCAAAAAGAAAATGTTGATATTTTTGTATACTTGGTAATTTCTTAAAATAAATTCCCAAAATAGCTTTAATATCTAAGTATTGAAATCCTTTTCCACCTTCATAACATTGAGCTTTATTTAATCCCGCTGGACTAGACTTTTTTACCACTGCAACCCACATGATCCAGACAATCTACTCTTGTTCTTCTGTAGAGTTTTTTAATCATGCCAAAACTACCATCACATTTGAATTTGGTGTGCCCAGGAATCATGAAAATTAATTCAATACTTTAATATTGACCACAAATTACTAAATACAAATAAAACCAAATTGTTACATTATTTTTATTTGTCCCCCAGCATTATCACAAGTAATCTTTAAATGCTTTTCACCTTTATCAATTTCTTAATTTCATCAAAAATCATGCTAAGAGTGCCATTGGGTCCTTTTCCTATAATTTCATCTTCATTAAGAACATAATTAATTTGTTCCCTTACTGCTTCATCTTGAATACCAAATAAATGAACTTTACATGGACTAAGGTAATAGATTTTACTTACCTGTTGATCAGAATGGGGTACATGGACATTTTGGGCTCAATCATAACTATAATGAGCAGTAGCATCAATACTGCAATACCATGTTTTACCCTTTGAATATTTTTGGTTAACCAGTTTTCTTTGCTCTTCTGCTAATTTAGTGTTTTTATTATAATAATTTCTTTCTAGTTTGGCCTTAGACAGATGTTCTTTAAATCTTTTAAGTAATTCTTTGGCTTCTTCTTCTTGGCAAGCATTATGATGTAAAACCATCTCTAAAATGTTGACAAGTATCACACAAATCAGTCCTTGGGCTCATAATTTGAATCTCTGGTGTCAATTGATGTCATAACTTTCTGAATACATCATATTTTAAGGATTTCAATTTGCTGTTTTCTTCCAGACCAGCTAGAAAATCTCTATACACTGATTTGTAACTCATTTCAGCTGGTAAGAATACAATTGACTGGGTTATTCTAATGATACTTCTTCCTGGACTTGGTAATCCATGGACTTCTGCATAATTTTCCAGAAAATTCTTTACTATTTCTGCAACATTTTTATCAATCACCATTTTAGTTTTCCATTGAGGCATTCTTTAATATTGCCATGAATTCTTGGTAAAAGACCATTATTTATCAGGTGATTTCTGATATGTTCAAAATAAGTTCTACCAATCCCTAGCATATTGAGATAAGTTTCTTGACAAAGGAGTGTATTGTGATCCCAGTGATAGAAAGTTTTTTTGTTAGATCTGGTTTTCTTTTTAAGGCGTCTACTAGTGCTATTAATCCACCATCCATGGCTTTAAGTTGGGCCATTAAAAATATGTCTTGTTCTAATTTAGTGAGAGCTTGAAAGGATTCACTTAATTCTGCAAATCCTTCTTTGGGGATTCTTGAAGAACAACCACATTTACAACCTTTTTCTAAAAAATCAATTGTTTATTGATATTCATTAGAACCATTATATTTATTATTATTTTTCATATACACCTATCCTATATATAATTTTATAATTTTATGTTCACTTTGTAGGTATTCATTTATTTTAAAATTGAAGAGATTCTAAAATTGGTCCTGTGGTGATGAGCAAAAGAATTAAATTTGAATGGATCTGCAAATAAATATCAGAAATATTTTCAAGTATATATTCAATAATTGATATAAAAAAGAAAATAAAAATCTTCAACTGGTTCCATGAAAAATAGTTATGTTAGATTTAAATTATTTATGATTACTAAAAATGGATAAGATAAATTATCTTGAGATCTGAGATTTATTGATCAACTAAAACAGAGATTATACTAAAACATTAAAACAGATCTTTTTATCTTAGAATTAATGCACAATGTAGTCTTCTGAGATTTTTGCTGAATGTATCATTTGATCTAATAAAGAAATTTTAAAATATATAAATATGATAGATTTTGGACTGAGTTTGATGTATCAAAAAAAATAATTATTACAAACTAGTGATTTTGATTTCTAGTGACTTTGTCACCTGTGTACTGATACACCAATATTAAATATACATATTAAAAATAAATTTTTTTTTACAACAAAAAATTTGTAATCATTCATGGCATGCTTCGCATGCTCAACTATAACTTTTTTAAAGCATTATATTGTTTATTTGGAAGAGTACACATTTTTATTTTTT